TCGAACGAGCGGTCTCGTCGGGGCGCTGGCTCTGTGGAGCATTGCGGGCCCCGTCCGCACGCACCAGCGAGGCGGCGCTGAGTGGACAGCGTGACTCTCTAGCCAACGCGGTCGATGTCACATACTGCCTCAGACCAGAATGTGTTTGATTTGCTTCCGATAGTTCGCCGATCGCGTGGGTTACGGGGATGCGCGGGAAAGAGGGGCAAAGACAACTATACCCGGGGGGGCAACGTTTCAGCACACCAGAGAATGCCTTTGGGGGGAAGGGGACGATGTCTGGACGAATTAAGTTACCGGCGTGGCGGGAGTGAACGGGTACAATCTGGAAATCAGATAGTGATACATCTCACTCTCTCAGGGGTGAGACATAACTGCCTCACCGAAAAAGGATGACATCACCGAAACAATCACGCACACCGAAAAGAGGGCGTACCCGTATGTATCACAGAAAAAATGGTCGTACACAAATGTATCACCGGGAAAATGGTCGTACACAAATTTATCACGGAACAAAGAGTGATACTTCTCCAGGAAAAGAAGGGCCAAACTCGCTGATGTCTCACCGTTTTTTTGGTGATACATGCGTGTACGATCATTTTTTCGGTGATACATACGTGTACGACCTCTTTTCGGTGATACATTTTGTATCACTGAAAATTCGTGAGATGTATCACCCTTTGAATTACAGTGTGAAATATAAGTAACTAATCGACGAGCATTCACTGCAAATGCAACGGCGATACCAAAATACATTTTTTGGGGATACAATTGAGTATCGCCAATAAACGGTCTTACGGAAAAGTATTGCCTTCAGAACGGCGATACAAAAAAGTATCGCCAAAATTTGGCAATACTTTTGGATATTGCCAAAACCCCGGCATTAAACCAAGGTCTTCTCCCCTTGATTTGTTTGACGTTTATTTCCAAGTCGTGGCAATACTCCAAAATATCGCCAAATTTCGGCGATACTTTCGTGTATCGCCGTTTTGAAGGCAATACTTTTCCGTGAGGCCGTTTATTGGCGATACTTTATTGTATCGCCAAAAAAGGTACTAAAAGTATTGCCTTTGGATTTACAGTGTATTACTAGGTCATTGGGCTCCTCGTTACCTCGGGAAAGTTATTTACTAGGATATATGTATCTAGGGTTTGTATTGTGGGCGTGGGCTGGCGGTGCCAGTCAATAAATATCTAGTCTTGTTGGTTATCATCCACGCTGTCCAGCAATGTTGCACGTCCTGATTAGGAAAGAAGCGCAAGACCGGAACCCCTAAGATGGCCTCTCCAAAGAGAATGAAACTACCCTCTTTCATAGTCAGCCAAAGGTTCTTTTATTAATAACAGGAAAAGTAGCGATTTAAATCGGCAACTTTGGCCCGTCCCGTACATTAAGAAACGTACGAATTTCGCCCATAATTGACCCTGACGGGATTCAAACCTGAGTCTGAGGTTAAAATAAATGTCGTTTTCGTCATCAGCATCCTCAAAAACATAGGAAACAATGCAAAAACTCGAATAAAAAAAATGTTCAAAATATATTCCGGACGCTTTTTTTCTTTTTGGTCTTTGAGCTTGAATATGCTTCTTGGGTTAAATGTTATGACAGGAGAGTAAAGTAAGGACCTTTACCTTCAAAATGGTATACATGAAAGCCAAATCTCAGCAACGGTTAGGGAGATATAGGCGCCTAACAAAAGCCCTGCACGTGTCCGGAATTGCCCCAGGCTGGGGTAATTCCGGACGACCTATGGGGCAATGCCGGACGACCTTAAAATTAGACACTACTCGAGCTTACTTTCGCTTGTTTTGATGTGAGGCATGCTTTTAGAAGGCGTTCAAGGACATTTGCTGCGAACTGAAGTGTTTGATTATTACTGAAAGCATATTATAAGGAATGATTTCTATCAAAACCCCTAAATTGACAACACTGTCTTGAGTAAAGCTCTTAAACATAGCTGCAATGCTATTTTTCGTTCTTTCTTTATCCTTCTTAACGGTGGGGATGCATGTCCACAATTTTGAACGCACTACCTTAACATTATGCGGGAAATTGAAGAAAATAACCCCTCTTGTCCGGATTTACCCCACAGGTAGTGAAAACCTTTGATGTTCAACTGTAAGAAAACGGCGAGCCATACGAGCACTCCCGAAACGCCAAAGTAAAGTCCAATGACCATATAATATGATAAAATTTTAGTCATGGGACTGAACTTGACGGTAAGGTACGATAAGTACATGGAAATACGAGGGAAAGATGCACCTTTGCCTATTTTTGATGGTACTCAAATTTCGTGAAGCGACCACAGGCAAACGGCTTGACCTCCTACTTTGGCGATTTGGAATTCTCCTTTTAAACTGATTATCTTCTTCTGTTAGTCGGGCTTTTGAGTTATCTTCACTCAAACCCAGTGAAAATCGAAGTGTCCGGAATTACCCCGTGTCCGGAATTACCCCACTCTCCCTTACTTCTGTGTATCGCCGTTCTGAGGGCAATACTTTTCCGTAAGGCCGTTTGTTGGCGATACTCAATGTATCGCCAAAGAATGTGCATAAGTATCGCCTTTGCATTTGCAGTGAGACCGGAACCTCTAAGATGGCCTCTCCAAAGAGAATGAAACTACCCCCTTTCATAGTCAGCCAAAGGTGCTTTTGTTAAAAATTCATTTGACTTCTGATGCAAATGCATTGCACGGTGTTCTAGTAAATGGAATTTGGAACGTTTAAGCATATTTTATTGTTGGAGACATCAATCAATTAATTTTCGCTTGTGTTTTCTCGCTGCATCTACTGACCGCAAGACTACCCTCATTGATTTGAATTGAGTGCATAAGTTGTTTCAAACTTTAAAAAAAATCCTGTCGTTTTCATTTTTGGAATTAGGAGACATTCGTCTGCATGGTTGTGATGTTATCCTGTTTTTTTATTGTCGCGTGTCATGACGAGTTTTTACTGCGTCTTTGTTTTGTTGCGACGGAAATATTTTTTTTTATTCAATAGTTTTGCGATATTGTCAACAGAAAAGTGTGTTTCATTGTGAAAGTTGTGTTTCATTGCGTAATTCAAAATCGAGACGATTTTGCTGTTTTCGCGACTTTATTTTGTTGTCACAAAGAATGGTTTACTTCCCGTTTTTGATCGTTACTGGGTTTGAGAAATTAACTAAAAATCCGACAAGAGCAATAGGGGTTTTCCTTCGTTGGAACCTCTTAAAATTTAGAATATTGGTTATTGCGGCAGCGTTCGTTGTCAGTAGTTAAAGATGTCATTACAGCTTCTGGTGTTGAAAGTAAAGCATCTCAGATGACGGTGATTAGTGAAGTCACAAAACTATCGTTCTGTTCTGTTTATTTGGGCGGTAAAATATAACTGATTGAGACGGACAGGTAAATATTGACGTGTAGCCAGGGGACAGGCGACACGTCTGTTGATCCTGTACAATTTTAGTTGGATCAGCCGAACCGTTTAGAAGTCAAGCTGACACGCACACTCAGAGACGGGAAGAGTTTTTTTTAAACTGCCTTCGCTATCGCACCGTCGATCAGGACGTACTTTCATACTGAATTCTCCTCACTGACAGTTTTATTAAAGCAACAACGTCCGAAACAAAGTGTACATTTTCTGGGCCGCAGCAGTTTAAACACATGATGGTCCAGAAAATTGGGTGTAATATTTTGCAGCCCCCACATACATCTCAAGGCCTCGAATCCACATTTCCACATTGCTGATTCAATGTGTTCGGGCACAGTTCACATTCGATCACGTGCAGACTTTAGGGAAAATCAACGTGGAAAATTAATTTTTAAGTATATGATAGGCTGGGATGCTGCGAAAGTATCTGACAACTCAGCCAGATCTTTCGGTCCCAGCGTCAAAATCATTTAAGTTAGAAAGGTGAAAGATGCTGGAAAATTGTTGGTCTCTCATCAAGGTGGCCTTGGTTCGCTACAATAACCCTGTAGATGGAACGGTTTAGCCGCTGCTGGGACTCGAAAACCGAGCCGGACTGTCCGATTCTTTCGAGACTGCCAATGCACAAGGCCAGAATCATTTAAAACTTCGCAAGGACGGCCTTTGAAGACCCCTAGAAAGCTTTGTGTTCTATGTAAACTTCAATTGTTCTTTTTTGTATGGTTTTTGAAAAATGGAAATCCAATTTTAAGATGTACCGATGCTGTGATTTAGGTAAAAACTTTATTGTCTTCCTCAGGAACGCCTCAGTTGGTGGATATTTTCGTCAACAGATTCCATTACACTGTAGAAAAAATCCACGGGAAAAGGAACAGGCACAGTCTGTACGGTTTTTCATAACATGGGCTCTTATGGGAAGCACGGTTTTCAGGTACAGTTGTTCTGTACCGTACGGTCTAGCCATACCCTTTGCCTTGAAATGTACGGCTTTTTTTAATAGTGTACTCGACCCATTATGTCCAAAACCCTTCACTCGGAAGCAGCTCTTATAGTGAGTTTTCGGCCCCCTCTAAAGCCTGGAATTGGCGTCGGATTTCGGCATCCTGAAAGAATGTAATGAGCCCAGAAACCTGGTGTTAACCAGATCCGTAGTAATCGCGAGAAATCGCCCGCCAAGTGTTTACATTTTCCTCTATTTTTGACAGAAGCTCCTTTTTTGCGGTATCCCTAAATGTGCGAGATTGCTTGGGCACGCAGACATGACACGTCTGACGCTAACGGTGTGTTCATGTAACTCGTAAACGGCTAGACATTAAAAAGTTTCGCCCAAGCAATAAAATTGAATTGTTGACAGAGCCCCTTCTCGGAATAACGTTTGTGTCTTTAAACTTTGACGAGGTATACAAACAACGTTAATAGCAAAAGTGTAATGTTTGTGCGCTGTCGTTTCGTGCAGTCAAAGTCCACAGAACGGGACAGAGTCCGCGATACTGATCAGTGCGTGGCCGGAAAACAAGAGGATTGACGCTGGTTGCAGGGTCGTGCAGGCTGCTACGTTTCCACAAAACCACAACAGCGACCTCTTCCGCAGGGCATGCAGCCTCAGCTGTTTGTTTCATGCGAGGCCTTTTGCGCATTGAAATTACTCTCAGTGTGATGCAGGCTGCCCACGGTCTTCTCATGCTGCCTCTCCGATCTGTGTCGCTATGCATGCTGCTTCTCCTCCTTTACTGCGATTACGGGCACTGCAAACCTCTTAATACTTTCGCCGTAAGTTCCAACGTGGTGTGCCGCCCATTCCCTTGCATTAGGCCTCTCGCTTGGTTGATGACAATGCCTCAAATCGAGAGAATAAACACTGGCTAAACTAACGCGTAGTTGTACGCTTCATTCAAGCGGTCAACTACACTCTAAGACTGTACCCTACGCCCTTCTTCAAGCGTACAACTACGCATCAAGACTACGTCCTACTTTTACGCCCTCGTTTTACCAGTGAAGTGTGAATATTTTACTTGAAATGCTGTATGCACAGGCTTGTCATGAACGGAACCGTTGATGCCGCGGAACGACTTTTGATGGTTTTATGCCTGTGCATACGGTATTTGAAGTAAAATGAGGGGTGTTCAGTTCTTCCCCTGTCCAGTGCTGCCCCGCACTGACCCTAGACCAGCAATCCAAAACCCTCTCCAATTATTGAATTCTTACGAAAGGAAATTATCTTCATACGTACACTGTAAAAAATTCCGTAGTTTTGTACGGAAAACGTACAGACGAAAATGGTACGGAAGTGCGGATAAAAGTGCGGAACGTCCGTACTTGTCCCAGAAGAACTCATGTAATCGGGTTCGGAAAAACAGTACAGAAGTTCGGTAGGACAGGTACGGACGGTCCAGGCAAATTATTGACCAGACATGTTCCGCACTTTTTTCTCGCAGTGTAAACTAACAAAAAAATATTTAGTAACATAGGACCTATTTCTAGATATTGCAGTCTAAATAGTTAGTCCCTTATGTAACGTTTGCGCAACATACTTCGTAAGGTTTTAAAGCGTGAGTGTAGCTAGATATTGTGAAGACTCCGAGAAATCGAAATAAAACTGTTGTTTCTCCCGCAGGGGCCGTTCATAGCGTATGCTCATAGGTTCGATACATGCCCGTCAGACGGCACCTTCGTGTACAACGTGCGAGTCAGCCACTTCAACCCAGCGAAGCCCTTCGAGAGGCAGACCGTCAAGGTGGCCTTACAATGCGTGTCCGCCTATGTCCGGCGTCCCAATATTGGCGTTTTTGTTGAGAAAAGTTCGCATATGATGGTTTAAAAGGGTTAAGAATAGTAATTTACATCATATTCCTGTTACATTTTGTTCAAATAGTGCCAATAATCGGAGGACGGACATGGCCGGACACTCATTGTAAGGCCACCTTAACAGGGAATGCTTCCATGAAAGAGGATATGAACGATTCGATGTGGGTAAGATCCATTACCAACGAGTGGACCAATACCGTTGCTGGTGCATGAAGGGGGAGGTTCTGCTGAAAATATATCGTTCTTCACTGTCAGAAATTTTGTGGTAAATTAGCGACAAAATAGTCGTTAATTTTGATAGCGACCGAATTCGTTCTTCAACTATTTCGTCGTAACTGAACGACTAAAAAATCATTTCTCTACGCCATTGTCGTAATCGCGATTACACACTGTCATGAGACTTTTTTTGTCCCATGAATGATGCAATTAAGCACATCCGGTGGTGATGCAACTTGGTATCCACCAGGCGGGACTAATTGTCTAGTGAAAGTCCAATTTGCAGCAGGTGTCGGACAAAATGTGTCACCAGGCGGGAACAAAATTGCATCAGCGTCGGATGTGCTTAAATTTGCATAAATCGTGGGACAAAAAAAGATCCATAATATTTAGTGTCTACATATTTTAAAATCTGAAGTCCCCGAAAAATTGGTCAAAAGTTACGATTTTCCTCGCTTATTTACGATTCATTACACAAATTTACGACAAGAGTCGTAAATATATGACTGAAGCCATATTCCAAAAATAAATCACGATCGTTCGTAAACTTACGATCAAGTCGTAAATTTTCGACTTGATTCGTTTTAAAACGGAACGTGTCGCTATCAAAATTAGCGACAAATATGTCGTATACTTACGACTCAAGTCGTAACAAAATAAGTTGTTTCAAATCAACATAATTGTTCTTCAAAATGTCGTAAATATACGATCATTTTTAACAGTGTTATACACTCTTAACAGCCTATGAAGCAGCTTCATTACTACGAAGGAAATGAAGGCATTGTAGAATTGCTTCGTAACATGAAGAAATGCCAGGGATCCTTAACTTACCCAATAAGGGCATCATAACGTTATCAGAGTTAAAGTTATTAACCTTAACTTCTGAATCTTTTCAAAAAGGGTAAGTTATTTTATTGTGTTTTGAATTTGTGTAGAGATACTTTTGGAAGTACTTCCAAAAGTCCGTACCCTTAACCTTTAGCGAAAATTGTCTTATGTTACGTTATGAAAGCAGTGTAAGTTAAATGTTGAGTTAAGGGATCTCTGAGAAATGCTTCCTAATACGAAGCATTTCTTCGTAGATTTTGAAATGCCTTCATTTTCTTCGTATTACGAAGCGACTCTTCGCAGAGTTTTTACAGTGCATAGTAAAGGTTAGAGTTAGATATTTTAAGACTCACGCTGCGCGAGAAATATTCTTACTACTTTAGACATGAAGACACTCCACACACTTTTGAACCGGCTGATTCACCAAAACATACCGAAAGTTTGTCAAAGCAACACCACAAACGTCACACATATATGCTTGTTCAAGTAGTACGCACTTACAAACGCATACGGACGGCACAGATAATTGAGGGAGCTTAATTGCTAAAACGTGCACAAAATACTACTTCTATCTTGAGATGCATCTCTTGGGATGCGTTGATTCTTTCAACGTAGGACCCTTATCGAAGAAAGTAAGATTTCCACCAAATGCTCGCGCTAAGTTTCTGACCTCCTTTTCGATCGACTCCCACTGTGGCAAAAAGCTACGGAAATGCTGTAGACAGCTTGCGGTAATTCTCCGTCCCCCTTGTAAATATTCTCCGTCTCTATCAGTATACTCCGTATGACCGTACATTATTCTCCGTAGGACCTTACAGTGTTCCCCGTAGGACTATACAGTCTTCCACGTCCTACGGAGAAGAATGTGTGGTCCTCCGGAGAATATTGGTAAGAGGGCTACGGAGAATACTGGCAAAAACATTATCAGAATTTTGAGTACACGGTGAAACCGATGTCTGGAAATTTCCAGACAAATGGCCGTTTTTTTCCAGACAATGTCTGGAAATGTCTACTTTTTCCAGATAATGTCTGGAAATGGTCAAATCCCAGATATATATCTGGAAAAAAACATTTTCCAGATAATATCTGGAAATTTCCCAGATAGGGTAAGGTGCCCAGTGATGGCCACTTTTAGCGCACTGATGCGCCTTTAACCCCTTTACTAAGTGTCCCGCACGTCGTACCGGTATGAAAATTTCCAGAAACATAAAAGAAGGATAGAGTAAAGGTTCCCAAGGGTAGAAACCAGCAAAATAAAATTTATTCTTTGAGAAAAAATTAACCAAACTATCAGTACAGTTTGCCCAGTAATGGCCACCTTTTGCCCAGTGATAGCCAGGGTCCCGGCCCAGTGATGGCCACACTAGGGTTTGAGCGCTTTGTTTTCGTTTTTGACAGTTATTGAACCCAATTTCAGCTGGTTTGCACCTTGTTCGAAGCTACAGGGGTCACTGTGTCTTAGGGAACGGAAATCAGTGTAATCCTGGGAACCTACCCTGGGAATCTACTTGTGTTTATACCATAAATATAGAATTAAAGTTAAAATTTCAAGTTTGCGATAGAAAAGATTTGGTTTCCGAAATGATTTGATCTCGAGAAGGTGAACATGTAATGTTAAGCATGTTATAGGTACAGACTTCAAATTCAAAGGTTTATCGGTGTCCAAAGTGGAAAAAGGTACAAAATGCATCTTTTTTCCTGTTTCAAGGCCGATAACTTCTGAAAATCAAGCCTGAACCTAAAACATGCTTAACATTTTTTGTTCATCTTGTTGAGGTGAACGCGTTTCTGAAATCGAATTGTTTCCATCGCATATTTAAAATTTTGACTTAAAAACAAAACTTATTGTACGTACGGAGTCTAAACAGTTTCCATGGTACCGTGAATTCAGGTCCCCATGAGGCAGGCGGAGTGAGATGCCAGGTCAAAACCAAGATATTTCAGGCAACAAACTAGACGGACATGCACGGCGTCGCGTCAGTCGTTGCAAAGTCTGCTTCGAAACACTAGTGTGGCCATCACTGGCTGTGCACTGTTTTGCCTGCCCAGTACTGGCCACCACCCCTTTTCCCTCAAATGTAACGAAATTTCAAAAAAACTTGCATGTTATGGTTAACTTGCCCTCTTTCGATTCTTCTGACGTGATGTTTCTCTTGCACGGACCTCGTATTCACAAATGACAAGCGACGCCGTTAAAGCCTGCGCTAATCTGGGCCGGTAAGGAAAGCAACGTTCGACCGGCCGAGAACGCAGTGTTCAGCGCGCTGCGCCCGTGCGGCCGTCCCTAACACTAAAAAGCTGAAATTTTTTCGGCGTTGTGTTGCCAATATGTGACAGTACAAAACCTCAAAAGCTCAATTCTTTAACTAATCTCGCCTGGTTGGAAAGTCAGCGCAAAGTGTGAAGTGGCCATCACTGGTACCCTAGCCATCACTGGGCACGTTACCCTAATGTCTGGAAACAAAGGCCTTGACGCCGAGGTCCACGGATTTGCGACCTGGGGGTCCCCGATGGTGTCCTCGAGGTCCCCAGGACACGAGGAGTCCAACGCCGAGGTCGCCGACGCTCTAGGACAAGCGGTTCCGGAGATACGGGGACGTACCACAAGGAGTCCGTCAAAGCAACTTTTTAGTTGGAGGCCAAAATCATCATCGGCCTCTGGCTGCGTTCCACTTGGGTGTCCGGGACTTTTGACTTCAGCATCGTATTAAGGTAGTGCTAGACTACCAGGAACCCGTCAGAGGTCGCCGTCGGACCACCGGTGCGCCCAGGATGCCGACGAACGTGGCTGCTGTGCCGCCACACGGTTCAACACCGTTGTCGCCACCACCCAGGTGGTCCCCGATGGTGTCCTCGAGGTCCCCAGGACACGGGGAGTCCAACGCCGAGGTCGCCGACGCTCTAGGACAAGCGGTTCCGGAGATACGAGGACGTACCACAAGGAGTCCGTCAAAGCAACTTTTTAGTTGGAGGCCAAAATCATCATCGGCCTCTGGCTGCGTTCCACTTGGGTGTCCGGGACTTTTGACTTCAGCATCGTGTTAAGGTAGTGCTAGACTACCAGGAACCCGTCAGAGGTCGCCGTCGGACCACCGGTGCGCCCAGGATGCCGACGAACGTGGCTGCTGTGCCGCCGCACGGTTCAACACCGTTGTCGCCACCACCCAGGTGGTCCCCGATGGTGTCCTCGAGGTCCCCAGGACACGAGGAATCCAACGCCGAGGTCACCGACGCTCTAGGACAAGCGGTGTCGGAGATACGAGGACGTACCACAAGGAGTCCGTCAAAGCAACTTTTTAGTTGGAGGCCAAAATCATCATCGGCCTCTGGCTGCGTTCCACTTGGGTGTCCGGGACTTTTGACTTCAGCATCGTGTTAAGGTAGTGCTAGACTACCAGGAACCCGTCAGGGGTCGCCGTCGGACCACCGGTGCGCCCAGGATGCCGACGAACGTGAGGCACGCCGGAGCGCCGTGGCGTGCCGGGTGCCTAAACGATCGTCGCCACCGCTGCGGCCGCTGCCGCCGGGTCCTCCGCACCAACCGCGAGCTTGGACGACGGAGGCCGACGCCGTTGGCACCGACGCCGCCGACGTGTACGTCGACGCCACCACGTGCTTAGTCGGCCGTTAGTGTGTTCTAACGGCCGCTTCGTCGTCCAAGCTCGCGGCTGGTGCGGAGGACCCGGCGGCACGTTCGTCGGCATCCTGGGCGCACCGTTGGTCCGACGGCGACCTCTGACGGGTTCCTGGTAGTCTAGCACTACCTTAACACGATGCTGAAGTCAAAAGTCCCGGACACCCAAGTGGAACGCAGCCAGAGGCCGATGATGATTTTGGCCTCCAACTAAAAAGTTGCTTTGACGGACTCCTTGTGGTACGTCCTCGTATCTCCGGAACCGCTTGTCCTAGAGCGTCGGCGACCTCGGCGTTGGACTCCCCGTGTCCTGGGGACCTCGAGGACACCATCGGGGACCACCTGGGTGGTGGCGACAACGGTGTTGAACCGTGTGGCGCCACAGCAGCCACGTTCGTCGGCATCCTGGGCGCACCGGTGGTCCGACGGCGACCTCTGACGGGTTCCTGGTAGTCTAGCACTACCTTAACACGATGCTGAAGTCAAAAGTCCCGGACACCCAAGTGGAACGCAGCCAGAGGCCGATGATGATTTTGGCCTCCAACTAAAAAGTTGCTTTGACGGACTCCTTGTGGTACGTCCTCGTATCTCCGGAACCGCTTGTCCTAGAGCGTCGGCGACCTCGGCGTTGGACTCCCCGTGTCCTGGGGACCACGAGGACACCATCGGGGACCACCTGGGTGGTGGCGACAACGGTGTTGAACCGTGTGGCGGCACAGCAGCCACGTTCGTCGGCATCCTGGGCGCACCGGTGGTCCGACGGCGACCTCTGACGGGTTCCTGGTAGTCTAGCACTACCTTAATACGATGCTGAAGTCAAAAGTCCCGGACACCCAAGTGGAACGCAGCCAGAGGCCGATGATGATTTTGGCCTCCAACTAAAAAGTTGCTTTGACGGACTCCTTGTGGTACGTCCCCGTATCTCCGGAACCGCTTGTCCTAGAGCGTCGGCGACCTCGGCGTTGGACTCCTCGTGTCCTGGGGACCTCGAGGACACCAGCGGGGACCCCCAGGTCGCAAATCCGTGGACCTCGGCGTCAAGGCCTTTGTTTCCAGACATTATCTGGGAAATTTCCAGATATTATCTGGAAAATGTTATTTTCAGACATTGTCTGGAAATGCCGTTTTTTTCCAGATATATATCTGGGATTTGACCATTTCCAGACATTATCTGGAAAAAGTAGACATTTCCAGACATTGTCTGGAAAAAAACGGCCATTTCCAGACAATGTCTGGAAATGGGAAAAAATGTCTGGAAATTTCCAGACATCGGTTTTACCGTGTACTTTTTCGCCACAGAGCCTCGCATCGTATAGATCTTTTAAATTGTGCGCAACGCCCGACCGTCAGATGTACAGTCGGATTAGGGCGCGGCTGCAGGTGTTCTTTTCTTCGGTAGGTCGCCCCATCACCGCCTGTCTTGGCCCCGAACAGGCTCGCGGGACATTGGCCGTTCGGTCCAACAACCAATGGAAGGACAACGCTTTTATTTTCAACTTCCCTCGCGGGGCGTGTTCCATGGTGCGGGACCATTTGCCGGATGTCTTCCGAATCCTGACAACGCGAGACGGGAAGCTGCTTGAGAAAACAGCAGGGTCGTGCGCCATTCCATCGGTATGAGACACACACTAAACTCTTGTGGACTCTTTTAAGAATAAATATACACGCACCAATACGTGTGTTCTTCCCCACTGACCCAAGGGTAAAGTGCCGAACATGGATCGGGGTACCAATCGTAGATAATTTTTGTTAGCGAGCCTGTACTGCCAAAACAATCGACCCAATTTTTTCGAGGTTCTTCAAGAATTCACACTAAATGTTTATGTAGAATTTTGTACGTGCCACCTGCACGATTTTGTGCATGCGGGGAATTTGCATGATATTATGCGTGAAAATGCATAAATTTATGCAAATTCACGCACAATTTTATGCACGACGGCACACAAGTTTAAAATTATGCATCACCACGTACAAAATTGTACATCTTAGTGTGAAGTCTACACAGAATCACGCGCGGGGGAGCTCATCAATCTTAGCGTTTCACTTACAGTATGCAAGTGAAAAAGTGCCTCTGAAAAGGGGTCCGAAAACGGCCTGGTTTCAGGTTAGGTTAAGGGTCAAAATTAAAACCGTTATTAAAAAGAATCCATTCATCAGAAATGTCTCAAAAATTTTTCGTGGCACCTTCAGAGTGTACACTTTTAAAATTTAGGTGACCGGAAGTTATCGGATCTCCCCTGTCAAAACGCGAGGGGGGTGATCCATGTTTGGGTCTGACCCAAACATCACGCAAAAAAATAAATCGCTTCAGAGCTAAAAAGTTAGCACCAGTGCTAATTTATCTAGCTCTGTAGGCCCAGCAAAATTTTTAGCTGCACAGCTTAAAATTATTAGCTGGGTAAATTTAGCTATGGAGAAAACGGAGATAAGTGATATTGATAACAACTCTAGCTGCATTAGCATTGTGGAATTCTTCATGATTATGATATTTATTAGAAGGTGCGGGATTTTCTGTCTAAGACGGACCAGTCGTCCTGAGGCGTAAGGCTCCTCCGGGACAGTCGTGTCTCAAGGGACTTTAAAAATTGCTGACCATGGGTGATGTCACGATGAGAACGAGGGGAGCATCCGTTCCCCGACTAACCCAGTGGTGTTTTCCTAAAAAATTTATAGGCCATACGGTGTCAAGGGTTGCCTCCCTTCCAGGCGTTAGTCACTAACCCATCTCTCAATGCTAGCCACCAGCGCGAGCGAAGCGCCACGGAACGAACGTAGCCTTGCCCTATCTCCTAAACATTTTTGCTGCATTGTAAATCCCATTTTGCAGCCATTGATTAGCAATGCAGCAAACTGAAGTAGCTGAATCCTTCAGAAATATAGGTTCCGGGAAAGCCGATCTCCGGCAGACCCTCAACTAAAGGAGCAGCGCTACTCAGCAGAGGTCGCTAGCAGAGTTGCAATTTTTTTAGCTGTGGTGCTAAAAAACGCCAACTAAGAAAGTTACCTCTGGACTGACTTCTTTTTTTGCGTGATGCATCACGAAAATCAGCGAAATTTCAAAGCCCTGTAAATTTCAAAGTATTTGTTATTGAATGTACAGTTCTTGGAAGAAGGTTGTCTTTGTGGCAATCTTGAAGTGTGTCGAAGAAAATTTAGGTCATCGCTTGTTTGAGCCGAAATATAGGACATTTCTAAAAAGTGATCCATGTTTGGCAACCTTACCCTACAATAGTTTACCTCATTGGGTACATTTCATGCATCTTTGTACATAAAATGTTCACAATGATGATTGATATCGTGCAGAGCTTACATGCGTGCACGTAACGCACGAAAAAAGTCAGCACGAGTTTTGAGTGCAGAAAGTCAACACACTGCACCACATCCTGCCACGGCAAGGTCAACGCTGGACCTTTCCATGTTCCCTCCCATCACGTTTGAAAACAGGTATAAAATTTATCGGAGTGCATGTGTTTCCTCTTCTTTACTCCAAAACTACAAATTTGCTCGCGAGCAATCGAGCAACTTCGGAGTATAAATTAGAATAACTCGCTTTAAATTAGGTGCTGTGTGAGTGTATTGAAATAAGGAAGCGGATGATTCGAAAAATGGTTCAAGCATTACATAAACTACTTAAATTCCTTTTTTAACGAGTCTGTTACAAATCCCCCCCCCCCAATGCGTGTTACGCAAAAAGAACGTCTCTAACCATCACAGGACAAATTTAGGGCAACTTATGCCACGTGGTTACATGGTACATGGGTCACGCTTCAAAGGCCCCAACAACGGTGCTTTGATGGTGATTGATACCTGAGGAGCCTCAAACAGAAACTTCCTAGAACTCACAATCTGAGATTTGCCTGTTTTCAGTGTGCCCTATAGTTCAGACTCCCTCCACAACTATACCTGAGCACCGATCACATCAGCTTCGATTGTTCAAGGACCCTCTACTTTTAGCGAAAGAGGGGCCATACTTACGGGACTCCTTCGCTAAAAGTAGAGGGTCCTTGAACAATCGAAGCGGATGTGATCGGTGCTCAGGTATAGTTGCGGAGGGAGTCTCGCCATTTTGTGGTGAGACGTTTGCGTCTGACCGTTTTATGGCGAGACTTTTTTGTCTGACCGACTTTTATGTCTCACCTCTGCAGTGGCGAGAAGTCTGACCTCTGAGAAGTGCTGGTCCGACTTAAGTGCGAACGTAGTGAGACCGCCGCAAAAAAGGGTCGCCGAGACGGGTCTCGAACAAAGTCTTTTCGGCCACTGCCATTGTCCTTTTATCAATTGCACCACGAGTTCGCTCTGCGAGACAGTGAAACGCGGAGCGGTCCAGGCGCGTAATTGGGGGGGGGGGGATCGCCCCCCCTTTTGGCCCCCGAGGGTCCGATTGGCCCAAGAAATAGCAGTTAGTCAGGAATCGTCCCTTAGCCTGGCCCGAACAACTAGCATTTTGGACATACTTAGGCATTGGCTTCTAGCTCGCTTCGCTCGCTGGAGGTAACTTGCTTCTGGGTCCTCTCCGCTGGCAAATTAACAGGATTGAGGTACCTCATGACTGATATATGTGATGCCTTCTTCGATCCTTAACCATCTTAGGCCGGGAAGAAAATTTGTTTGCAACGTATTTTCAACCATTTGTTTGTCTGGCCAACCGAAAATATGTACCTGGTAATGTTTAAAATCTCCTGGAACCCTAGGACTAAGACCCCAAGTTATAACATTTCCCGCTCAACAAGGCTATAGCTTTTAGCTCGCTTCGCTCGCAACAGGAAGCCTCTTCTAAATTTCGGCTCCGTGGCAAGTGGGGGGAAGCAAAGTGCGCCAGCCCTTCTAGACGAAAAAGTCTTCCCCATTGTAGGACTCGGAAACAACGTTTCAGACAGTTAAGCATTTATAGCTTTTGGCTCGCTTCGCTCGCTGAGAGCTATCTAATTCTAAATTCTCGCTATGAGTCCAAACAAATGTAGAATAAAGTGAATCCTCTTCAAACTTTGTAACAACCCCTCAATTTTCTGTAACGTTGTTTTGAATTTAGCCCCCTCCCTCCCCAAACCACGTCCCTAAAAATTACCTATCAGACACAGGCTCCTTGAAGGTAGGCAACTTTTCAAACATTCGCCCCCCCCTTTCGACCCGCCTAATTACGCCCCTGGAGCGGTCTCTCTCTCCAGCCAGCGAGCTGGTGACTCGAGCCGCCGCTGCGCTGCAGACGATGGCAAGGGATGCTGCTGTCAAGTGGTTTCAACTTGCCGCTTTCTATCATCGCGCTAACATTTCGACTCTTGCTGACTTATTTTCTGACATATCAAATTGTTCACGGTTGCAGGGGCGGTTCACCGTCGACAATGAGCCAGTGAGCTGGGAGTTTCCTAAGTTCAAAGTGATGCCGTATGGACACTACCGCCTCACTATCAAGATGGGCCCCATCACCAGTCGCGAAGTCCAATTGTGTTGTGTTGTGGATTGTGAAGTGATCCCTAGACCATCCTAGAGGAACGGCAAAACAGGCGCCCGGGTGATTCCATGCGTAGGGGGTCATTTCAGGTCAGTGGGGCCTTGCGCCTGAACGGAGGTTGATTTGGTTGGTAGCTTGGGTAATTCAAATTTGTTTACACTCTTGAAACCTTGCGAAGAGTCTTACTTGTTTGCAATGCGAAGAACGCATCCGTATTGCAAATCAGTTGTTCGCAACTTGAGAAGAAGTGCTTCGCAATTTGCAAACAACCTGTGTGTATTGTGAACCCTTGCAAACACATTGTTCGCAAAATTGCGAACAACTAGTTCGTAATACAATCAAGCCAAACTCTTCACTGTGCCAAAAAGCTACGGAAAATTCTGTAAACAGCTTGTGGTAATTCTCCGTAGCCCCCTTGTCAATATTCTCCGTAGGCTCTTACCGTATTCGCCGCAGGACCGTACAATATTCTCCGCACTCTACAAAAAATGTCCTGTCAACGCCGTTAATTTATTACCAATGTTTGCTGTTATGCAATTCACGGCGTTTGCTGTGAACTAGTTTACGGCGTTCACTGTGATCTCGGTTACAGTGTTCGCTGTGATCTGGCCACAGTAAACGCCGTGAATTGGAGCCTGATTTGCAGTACTTCGGTGCTTAGCGGCGTCAAACTCACAGTGTTTACTGGGGACCAAATCACAGTGAACACCGCGAACAAGATCACAGGAAACGCTGTGAATTGACCTACAGTGAAAACTGGTAATAAATTAACGGCATTTACAGGACATTTTTGGTAGAGTGCGTAGGACCTTACCGTGTTCTCTGTAGGACTATACAGTCTTCCAGGTCCTACGGAGGAGACTGTACGACTCTACGGAGAATACTGTAAGAGCATACAAAGAATATTGATAAGAGGGCTACGGAGAATCCTGGCAAACAAATAACTGAATTTTCCGTATCTTTATGCCACAGTGTTCGCAAGCTGCAAACCAAATGGTTTGTAATGCGAACACATTCTTCGTAAAGTTTGGAGAATGTAGTTAAATTAGGACCATTTCCTCATGTGGATAGTCAATCTAACTTTTGTTTTCCGAGGTTTTGTAAGCTATTAAAGTGTCGTTTTGCAAGTTTCATCAAGGCCGGAGAAGATTATATTGCCACGCTGACCGGACAAGTCACGGTTTGGTGTGCACCTATTTTGTAGCAAACACGCCATCTGTTCAACTGCGCGCAACGTGTCGTCTTGTTGACAACGATTTTTCTCTTCCTTTCAGGCCTGATGTCAACAACCGTCCAATGGCCGCAGGCATGGAACTGTCACTTTGCTCCCTTGAGACCAAGAGCTTCTACAAATTATTGTATGCAAATGAAGTAAATAAAAATGTTAGGTGAAAATGTTTTTCTCCTGCCGCCGCAAACCACAGGAGCCAGCCCGAACATAATATTTGGTCTTGTTCCTCCGGAGAACCTGAACTACACGATACATGACCTCCAAGGGGGGCTGACTCCTATAATACTTCGTACACAGCCCTATAATACTTGTATAATACCTTAATACTATAATCCATAATACCAAAAAATGCCGCACGTTAAGTGCAGTTCCGGTTTTAAAATAAGAAAATTTTGTAAAATTGAGGTGAATAAGCGTTCAGCGATTCCTAGACGAAACGTTAAAGTAAGAAAATGGTGCTAAGACTTATGTCTAGGTGCTGAGACTCTTAAAGATGCGCGGTAGTATTTTGAGGCTCAGAGCGCGAGCCGGAATCCATGTTTTCAACTAACTTGCGTATTTTGGAAACCCTTGGTACACGGAAAACCACTTAAAACGACACAATTATCCAAATATAATATTCGGAATAATACCTGTAATACTCTATAATACCTATAATATATAATACTTCGTACACGGTTCGGGAGAGTCAGCCCCCCTTGATGACCTCCAAGGAGGTTTCACGATTAGGGTTCTATAGTCTTTACTAGTCTATAATTTTGGATTCTTTTTCTGTTTTCCTCTCTTGTTATTTAAAGAATTGTTCCACTTAATTTTAAGTTATCTCATGATGCCATCTGATTGTGCATGTTTATGTTCTTGAAAGGAGGAGGCATTTTCCTTATTCACATGTGCATGTGAACTTCCAGGGGTCTTTTTGAAGTATTTTATTATTATACATTTCTCTTCCTGGGATTATATATCCAGTTTATTCTTACTTGGTTTTTCTATTGCAGCTCCTAGTTGGTACAATGCGGAATCACCTGACTGCCAGGGGTAGACTGCAAGTTGAAAGAACACCGTTTCAATATTAATGCTTATGGTGGTGTGGCTTTTGGCCACACCTGATTCATTTAGAAGCGTATCTTAATAATTTAGTGTAAATTCAGGAACTCTTTAATATTTTTACTATATTATAATTGAAGCATTGAGGGAAATGGCCTCTGATTACAATGTCTAGCCAGATGCTGAGGAGAGGGAGGCTTTAAGTGCAACATTTGAAAGGGGCTCTGGATTTCCTGGAGTTATCAATTCTGATGATGCAACTCCTGTATAGCGCGTCATCGACCGATAAAGCACAATATCGTAATAGGCAGACTGAAATAACAAACGTGGTCTAGACCGGAACCACTGGTGTGGTCATATGGGTGCCATTTTCACCGCATCAGTTGGTGTGGACTTAAACACGTTTGGCCGCACTTGGTGTGGTCTTTCCATGCAATGACCACACCAAACGCAACAAACGTGGTATAGACCACACCAATCCCCCGAAAAAAAGGTCTAGTGTTCTGTTTCTCTGTTCACAGGTCGAGGGGTCCTATTCAAAAGATCTTATCTGGGCGTTCCCCCCAAGACAATCTTATCTTAAACGCCGGCAAATTTCACTCATTGTGAACAATCAGAATAAATACGACGGTAAGCGAAACATATTTATACATGCACTTTTGGTTTCTTTGATCTTCCATCTTTAGATTAACTTGTACAAACTCACAAATTATATTGATATGTTGCTGTACCAAATGATCAAACTATGTGAAATTCGCGTGCGTTTAAGATAAGATTGTCTTGGGGGGAACGCCCATATAAGATCTTTTGAATAGGACCCCTCGAGGTAGGTCAGCCTCTAGAGTCGAAAAAGTTCGAAATCAGGGGAGGATTTCCTGGGCCCTTCCAACCATGTTAGAAGTGGACATCGGTGTTGACACGAAAGGTAAGTGGCAGCAAGGCTGCGCGTGGCTGTAGGTGCACCGCTTCGCCGCTGCGCCAAGGCGCGGTGCTGCTGTGTCTGCGCTTGCTCACCCTTTTACTGTTCTGTTCGAGCTTATCGGCACTGCCCCTGTGGCCGACGACGTGGTAGGGGAGTGGCAGGACGCCAGTCTGCCATCGGTAAGGGAAGGTGGGGACCCATGTGTCACTTTTTTTTTGTTTTGAGTGTCAAAATTTTGGTTTTGGGCATAAATTAAATGTTTTGGGTCAGAAGCATGAGTTAATCTTCCTTCTACAAGGGCCAACTGAATTTGTTCATGTATCTCATCTGGTTTTGGATAGGAGTAATCAATCTTGCTTGTTCGGCCGGAATTTTGCCTAGATGGCATCAATTGAACCCCAGGAAGACACTCTGAGCGTGGGCGAGCTACAAGTTGACTTTCGTTTTCTCCCCCTATAAAATATGACGGAATTAACAGACGCTGTATGGTGTAAATAGGTCAAATGAAGCGGCAAACATGGCCTTGTCCCAGTATTTGAAAATGTTTATCCGGGGGAGGTCGAAATTACGCGTTGGCGATTACGGGTTTATGATAGTGAGTTACGGCAAAGCGACCTATTATCCTTGTTTTGAACCTACCATACTCCTGTAGAAGTATTTCCACCGTTGCAGCTTTGTTTAATATCAATTTCGAAGCCGAATAGGGTTGGCGCTTGGTTCGGTGCAGGCACAAAACACCGAGGGGGGACCCACTAGGCACATTCGTTGTACATCCTGAGACCCAACTCCCGAAAAAATCACTCACATTCAAGACACATTCCACACATTCTCATAGAATCAAAACAATCAGCCACAATCCACCACACTCTTACACATTCGCTAACATTCCCTAACATTCTCACACAATCGCTGTACATTCTCTGACATTCTCATACATTCAGTCACATTCTGGACACATTCTCTGCACATTCCTTACACATTCTCAATGACAGTCCCCTAAAAATATTTATTTTAGTCTAATAACTTCGATTTAGGTTTACGTTCCTTTCAGCTCTAGCAGTTCTTCCCTCCCTCCAGTGCGGTAGTGCGGTAGTTCGTGTCCGTCCCGAATCCGAACGGAGCCGCTGGCCCGTGCTCGCGTCGGGATCGTCCCTGGAAGCGCGCGAAACTCTGTCGAAGTCGAGTCAGCCAAGCCAACCTGCGCAACCGAGATGCATGCTGGGAGACCGGGCAAGCCGGCAGGCAGGCAGGCAGGCTGGCAGGCAGGTAGGCGGTCCTCCGCTGCGGCCGGCGACGGATTCGGGAGGGATTAGCTGCCCGGTCTCCCAGCATGCATCTCGGTTGCGCAGACCTATCTTCCATATGACCTTAAGTGGGTCCCCCCTCGCAAAACACGCTTAGAGCCGCGAAATACAAATGCCGGTAGCAAGTGACGCAATTTGCGGACGAAACTTTTCTTCCACTTTACGAACGAACGAATCGACTCAAGGTTTTGGGACTTAGGTTAAAATGTAGACTAAAGTGTCCACTTTCGTAACACACAAAACTTTCAGTGTTTTAACGGCGTTATAAGGAATAAGACTTCACATTGTGTTTCAATCGGGGATTGGGACACCGACAAAACGGCCATTTTTGTACTTTTCCGGCGCTATATGTGGTACAAGAAGTCAAAAATTTTGACTGAAAACATGTACATGCCATTCTCTGAAGATGTTTTGTTGTTACATAAGGGGTATTTGCTGATAGGAAGTCCGTGCAAGTGGTAATTGAGCTAAACATCTTTGATTTTAAAATTTCCACATTTTGACGAACCAACCCATGTAAATTACATTGACAATGAATGGTCCCTCCAGGACCACCTTCTTTGCATGCCCCATTGCAAGGCTGAGTCTGTCACGGCAGATGTGATTAGTGACACCATAAATATGGAAAAGGTGAAATTAGACATTGATCCGGAGTCAAAAATGTGCAACACAACTGACGACGGCGCAGACATGGCGGCGGCTGTGCGCCTAGCCGGTGTACGGGAATAGATCCCCCCCCCCGAAAAAGAACCGGAGGTGACTTTACCGCGGGATAAAACCACCGCCCTCGGCTGACTCCTGAGAAGGGGTGGTTTTACACCGAGGTAAAGTCACCCCCCTGCTGGTCCTGGGGAGTGGTTCTATCCCGTGGTAGAACCACCCCCCTAGCTGGCTCAGGGGGGTGCATCTATCACGGGATAAAACCACCCCCCAAAGACGGGGAGTTACTTTATCACGGGATGAAACCACCCCCAAATTTGCATATTTGACGGGTTTTGACAGCACTTCTCACCACACGGTAAAACGAAAGCCTCACACTTAATCACTACCGTAGAACGGGGTAATATGAGACATGAAGGAAAATCGAGACAAAGCGCACTTTTTTCGGTTTTTGTCGTGTCGCTATCTAGCGGTTGTTCAGAAGTCCACCGTGAATTTTTTTTCGTGATCTATGAGGCCGTGGCAGCTCACGGGAAACGCACGAAGGCTATCAGAGACTCGCCAGGGTTATTTAGAACCGAAGGAAAAACCTCTAAATTCTAACAAGTTTTATAAAGCAAGTAAAAACCTCCCCAGAAACCTCGGTTTGCACTCGGGTTCTCGTCCGAACGAGGTTTAAATCTGTAAGCAATTATGTCAACATAATCAGGACAAAATTTGGTTCCGTTATGTCTACTCCCGGGCTGCCTGTTCCAGATGGAATACAATTTTGTTACCTTGCAGGGAAAATAGAGACACCTCTTTTCGCTTGAAACATGAGGCCAAACATACTCCACTGTTAATAATTTCAAGTAATGATTATTTTAACACGAATTTGTTTTACTATCTGACCGGCATCTATGCTCTTCGTTTAGTTTTTTCATGTGACAGGCACAACTCATGACTTTTTATACATTTTTCAGCTTTCTTTAGTGACACCCATTTTTCTCCCCTCCAGATATAATATCGTCTCCATTATAGTTTCCAATTATCTTTAAAATGAATGAAAAGAACTTAAAAAGCTCCAAACCCGCCTCAATGATGTAATTATCCATACTTCTTTAACATTTCTTTCTTCTGTCTCACATTACCCCACATTGCAGGGAAATATGGGACGGCATTCCGAGGGTTATTGGAAGATCCCTGCTGCACCTAAAAATCTGAAATTTGGTGAGAGTGTAGCCAAAG